GAAGCTTTGAAAAGGTTAGTGTTTGTAGATGCTCTGAAAGGTCAATGTTACGCAACCAGAAATTTCCCTCCAAATTATGTGAATCAGAATGATGTAGTCTATTAGTCTCCTTGCGTTTCAAAATGCCTCCAATATTTCCTTCATATGGGAATTCCTCCAAATAAACTACTATGGTAACATGAAGCCTTAGAATCTATAATGTTCACCTTGGAGAACAGAAATGCTGGTTGGATAAATTTGGATGTCCCGGACTCTTTGTAAAGTAAAGCATGGTGGAAGTCAGTATGACTCCACTGTACCTTTTATCGAGAATAGGGTGGTCAGATTAATTGCATGGCTTCTTAGTTTGTAGGGCGAGCATTGGAGCATCGTTAAGGTTCCCCCTTTGTGACCATGTGGGGGTAAGGCTGCATGTATCACCCTCCAAAACCCCGTAGTGGCTGGAGTCTCATGCACTTAGCTGCTTTTTTACATGTAGATACTCCATCTGTTTTCTTTTGTTGGCCAGGTACTTTCCTAATGGCATCGATATCTACTTTGAGAATGTTGGAGGAAAGATGCTTGATGCAGTACTCATGAACATGAGAGTCAATGGTCGCATTGCTGCCTGTGGGATGATCTCACAGTACAACCTTGAACAGCCTGAAGGAGTTCACAACCTGTTCTGTCTTGTTACAAAACGGATCCGTATGGAAGGATTCTTAGTTTTTTATTATTATCACCTTTATCCCAAATACCTGGACATGATTCTACCTTACATAAAAGAGGGGAAGATTGAATATGTGGAAGATATAGCTGAAGGCATTGAAAGTGCCCCGGCAGCTTTGATTGGGCTGTTCTCCGGCCGCAATGTTGGGAAACAGGTCGTGGTTATTGCTCATGAATGATGCACTTCACTTCACTGTAAGTGCTTTGGCGTTGTCGTATGAAATAGTACGCTCTGTGGCATGCGCTTTTTCTCGGGCATAATGCTGGTTTGGTACGCAATAATGTTTTTGCATCATAATATACAGAGATGAACTTATAAATTGACTGGACTATACAATACTAGTTGATGTATGATAACAACTAGTATTAAGTAATGTAATAGAATTGAAAATCTATTCAATTCAAATATTTGGATGCTTTTAATGTCATTAGAATAATATATAGTCGTTTTTATGCCCCAATGTCGAAATCTCAAACTAGGACTCACCCCATGTCCGGACCATGGTCCAGGACCAAGACCCGGCAGCGGACTCACACTTGGCCTAGGCCTAGATCCAAACCCTAACTCAGACCCGAATCCCAAATTCGGGGGGTGGTGGTGGTGATGGTGGTTGCTTGTGATGGTGATGGTAGTTTTTTATATAAAGTACAACATCATATTAAGGAATGACAAATTTTATATTGTTGGGATTAGAATGAACATTACTTAGTTACAAAATTTATAATTTTTTTTTTAAGATTCAATTAAAATAATTTTGGGCCCACCAATTTTAACAAGTATTGTAATTTTAGATACAATTTATGAACTAATAAAAAATTAACATGGCATTAATGAATTGGAGTCTAGTTTTAATAGATTTGGATGATAAATTTATGAAATCATTCGGTTCCTCAAATTAGAAGGTCGATTTGACACCAATGAAACGTGACACAAACTCATTAAATTATACACGATTATAAGTAGAACAAACATATATTAAGTAAATTCTGACATAATACGATCGAATAGTTATTCTTATATTATTTTTATTTTTTTTAGTTATGTTTATGTAAATACAAAAAAAAAAGTAAGTTATCTCCTTGCACAATACTTTTAATTTATTGCAATCAAAATCAATTGGCAGATTAATTTTTTATCACCCAATTTTTATAAATTATATATTTTCGTTAACTTAAATTCAAAATTATTTTTTTATCTAGATCCAGTTTTTGCTCAATTATTTTTTTAAATGTACCAAAAACGCACATAATGACAAAAAAACATATTGACTTTGAGTAGTTTACAATTCAAAATTCTTGTTGACATTGTTTTTTGAAAAAAAATTTAGTTTTATTAATAAATTTAATTTTTTTTCTATATATATTTAGCTCATAGCCGATTTAATTATATCTGACGAGCCCATATTCAAACTAGGTATGGGTCTAGTCCATGGATTAAGCCTAAATTATCAAAAGGCATGCCAGACTTAACTCATGGCCTCAGTTCAATTCAAAGCCCAAGAGTCCATAAAGAGTCAACGCACATAAGAGAGCAACCATCAGGATAATCATTACTCTAAGATAGTGCATATTCCCAATAATAAACTATCCTCCCTCATAAATTAATAGGTTGACCTTCACGTCATGGTCTCAGCTACGGCTTTACGCCTATAAATTGTAAACCTCTTACACATGAGGACAAATCTCTCACACACCACACCTTGAGTTTCCTCTCTCTCTCCCCCACCTAATATTTTATTCTCTCATTAATAAAGTTTTTCGGTTACCGTTGCTACCTTCCATGGTTAGGTCATCTAAACCCTACCATCTAATTTTTGTCTTTTATTATTAATTGCTTTATTAATTATCTTACATCATACACTTAACTGATTTGATTATTCATAAAAACTACTTTTAAGCATCATCAATATCTTACTCTCCAAATTCAACTTCTATTAATAAATTTTTTATAACTAAAGCTTGAATTCAAAACTAATAGATTTACATCTCGAATACAAGAAAATTATTTTTAAATTGAATATATATATATATATATTTTTATTGTATCTTTATTATTATTTTTGATAGCATTGGGCTCCTCTAAATATTTTCGCCTAGGACTCTTATATTGGTTGGGCCGGCCTTGCTGTCCAATTCCAAACGACACTCTCGCCACAATGTCCACTGTCCAAACACATGCAATTAGAATTGTCAAAAAGTCTTAGTGTGAATATCGTGTGTCTTATTATATTTGTGTCTTATATAATTGTGTATTTGTAGTATTTAACAAGTTTATATCATATTTAGTGGGATTTATATCAAATCATTTATTTTAAGAGTTTAAAGGATTTAATCATTAATAGTTCAAACCTACTAAAATCAAATTTAAATTTAATAATTTCGTAACGGTAATGTTATTTTATTATGACATGTCAAATTATAAAATTAGTCGTCTTCTATTATAACTGACATTTCTTAGACTCCACTTCCTCAAACATTGAGAGATTATACAAGTGCAACGTTTCCTTCTTTTGGCCATTAATACTACACAGCTACCTTCCAACCTCCACAAAACTGTAAGCCAAAACTCAACCACGCATCCAATCTCAATCAACAAATGCATCCAAACCCAGCAACCTCTCTCTCTCTCTCTCTCTCTCTCTCACACACACACACACAATTTAAATTTTAGGACTTTTCACACTTTGCACTCCGAAAGATATTAAGATTTTTACTTTGCACCCTAAAAGAATATTTCTCCACATTGCACCCTCATTATTTTAAATTTGTTTTAATGTGACCCTTCAAATCAACTGTTGTCTCTCTTTTCATTAAATCTTTCTGCACATGTGACGCACATATTTTGTCCATGGACAAAATTGTAAAAATACCTAATCATCTTCATGCCCTGTTTATAACTATCTACACACACCACGTTGGCGCCAAAACAACTGATCATCTTGAAGCATCTTATTGAAGAATCTGGGCACATTCATTGAATGACTTTTCCTTCCTTCTTTCCTTTCACTAAGCTGTCAAAAGAGAAAAATCAACATGTCTTTATCAACATTTTGAAAAGACAATAGTCCTAATCCTGCCCATTGAATTGTGCAGGTTACGTGCAATATGGGGAAAAAATGTTCAACCAGGCCAATCAACATAATTTATCAATGCTAAAACATTTTTGTCTCAACAATAGACTGAAGTTGACTTTTTTTGTGTTGGCAAAGAGGCGAAACAAAAGCCCCATATTCTTATAGTGCAAATAAAAAATGTGTGACAATGAAGGGGTTAACACAATGGTACCCCTTGTCAAATTGAAATTTGCCTCTTAGTTGTTGATTTTGTTTTGATTTTTGTGTAGTAATTAATCGCAAAAATAATAAAAAAAAATCTAAAAAATTGAAGTATATATAAAAATTTTACATGTGTCTAATTGTGATTGATGAAAATCAAGATGTATAATATTGAAAAATAAATTTTCAGTACGATAATTAAATTTAATGATGAATAAAGTTGACTATGCACAATCAAATCAGTTGAGTGTGTAGTGTAAATTAATTAATTATAAGAGACAAATTTCGTGGTTGGGTCTGGGTGACCTATGTAAGATTAACTTCATTATGTGAAAACCATTAAATAAACAGAAATATTCATATTGAATCATCAAAAATTAAAGAATTGGATTTGCGAAAGTGTCCCTGAATTCATCACAAAATATTGAAATATCTGAGCCTAAGTCTGAGACTTTATGATCTTTCAGATCTACACTTGTTTTTTGTCTAAATTTCTATCTAAGAATGGGAATTAGAAAAATAGAAAAATCGTTATGTGATCTGAAGACCATGACCCCTATTCATAAACAATTGTGTCTGTTTATAAGTAGTCACGTCTGTTCGTAATTTCTATTTTAACCCGTCATAAAAATAGAAATTGTGTTTGTCTCTACACATTAATGCCCACACTTTGTAATATATTAATTAAGGCCTCAAAATTTAAATTAATCACTTTAATTAGCCTAACTTTATTTGATAGCCTATAATTCATATTTATTTAATATATAAGCTCATATATTTAATTTTACTCCAACAATCTCCCACTTGGACTATATATGTAACTTTATAAACGTGAATTATACTTTATGAGATCATGAGTTTTGCTATCAAAATTTTATATATTTTAACAATTTTGTCCATTAACCACACCAATACAGAACCAAAGTGATCGTCATTACATATTTCGTAACTAGACCTATCAATGATCACATATGTTAATGCAACTAATGACAAAGATCAAGTGTGGATGTGTAGCATGGAAATTTCATGCAATGTGATCTTAACATGTCTATTTCCAATTGGTCCTCCTTAAACCCTAGTGAGATTAAACCATACAAAATCAGAGTAAATGAAAATTGAATACTTTACCGCAGTAAATAACCATAAAATTCATAACAAATGTATCTATAAATAAAAACATCTAAAATACAAACTCCCACTAAAACGATATATCTTGAAGAGAAACCACACCCATATGAGCAGTGTGCTCATGAAAAACCTTGGGTGGTAATCCCTTAGTCAATGGATCTGCAATCATGGAGTTTGCCCCAATGTTCTCTATAGATATAAGTTCACTCTGAACTCTTTCTTTGACAATTACGAATTGGATATCCATAAATTTTGACTTCGTCGAACTCCTATTGTTGTTGGAATACAGTACTACTGATTTATTGTTACAAAATAACTTAAGTGGTCTTTCAATGCCATCTAGAATACGCAGCCCCATGACAAAATTTTGCAACCATATTCCATGATTGGACGCCTCATAACAAGCTACAAACTCAGCTGTCATGGTGGAAGAAGCTACAATAGACTGTTTAACACTGTTCCAAGATATAGCACCTCCAACAAGTAATTAGATATAGCCTGAAACAGATTTCATGCTATCTCGGCATCCAGCAAAATTGGAGTCAAAATATCCAATTATCTCTAACTGATATGACTTTCGATAAGTGAGCATGTAGACTTTTGTTCTCTGTAAATACCTCATGGCTCGCTTGGCTACTACCCAATGATCCTTTCCAGGATTGCTCAAGTATCTGCCCAACATGCCAATAATGTACGCAATATCTGGACGCGTACATACTTGAGCATACATCAGACTTCCTATTGCTGATGCATAAGGAATCTTTTGCATCTCCTGAATCTCAAAATTATTCTTGGGGCATTGACTGAGACTAAATTTGTCTCCCTTAGCCACAAGGGTGTCACCTGGTTTGCAATCATGCATGCCAAACCTTTTAAGAATTTTCTCGATATAGTTTTTTTGTGGTAAACCAAGTGTACCCCGAGAGCGATCACGGTGTATTTGTATACCCAACACAAAAGAAGCATCACTAAGATCTTTTATCTCAAATTTCTTTGATAGAAATCTTTTGGTTTCATGCAACATGCTTATATCGTTGGTGGC